CAGACACAAGCATGTAAACATATATACCGTCCAGACACAAGCATGTAAACATATATACCGTCCAGACACAAGCATGTAAACATATATACCTTCCAGACACAAGCATGTAAACATATTTACCGTCCAGACACAAGCATGTAAACATATATCCCGTCCAGGCACAAGAATGTAAACACATTTACCGTCCAGACACAAGCATGTAAACATGTATACCGTCCAGACACAAGCATGTAAACATGCATACCGTCCAGACACAAGCAAAGAAACATATATACCGTCCAGACACAAGCAAAGAAACATACAAACCGTCCAGACACAAGCATGTAAACATGTATACCGTCCAGACACAAGCATGTAAACATGTATACCGTCCAGACACAAGCAAAGAAACATATAAACCGTCCAGACACAAGAATGTAAACATATATACCGTCCAGACACAAGCATGTAAACATGTATACCGTCCAGACACAAGCATGTAAACATATATACCGTCCAGACACAAGCATGTAAACATGTATACCGTCCAGACACAAGCATGTAAACATGTATACCGTCCAGAAACAAGAATGTAAACATGTATACCGTCCAGACACAAGCATGTAAACATGTATACCGTCCAGACACAAGCATGTAAACATATATACCGTCCAGACACAAGCATGTAAACATGTATACCGTCCAGACACAAGCATGTAAACATGTATACCGTCCAGACACAAGCAAAGAAACATATATACCGTCCAGACACAAGCATGTAAACATATATACCATCCAGACACAAGCATGTAAACATGTATACCGTCCAGACACAAGCATGTAAACATGTATACCGTCCAGACACAAGCATGTAAACATGTATACCGTCCAGACACAAGCATGTAAACATATATACCGTCCAGACACAAGCATGTAAACATGTATACCGTCCAGAAACAAGCATAGAAATATATATACCGTCCAGACACAAGCATGTAAACATATATACCGTCCAGACACAAGCATGTAAACATGTATACCGTCCAGACACAAGCATGTAAACATGTATACCGTCCAGACACAAGCATGTAAACATATATACCGTCCAGACACAAGCATGTAAACATATGTACCGTCCAGACACAAGCATGTAAACATATGTACCGTCCAGACACAAGCATGTAAACATATATACCGTCCAGACACAAGCATGTAAACATGTATACCGTCCAGACACAAGCATGTAAACATATATACCGTCCAGACACAAGCATGTAAACATATATACCATCCAGACACAAGCATGTAAACATATATACCGTCCAGACACAAGCATGTAAACATGTATACCGTCCAGACACAAGCACGTAAACATGTCTACCGTCCAGACACAAGCATGTAAACATATATACCGTCCAGACACAAGCATGTAAACATATATACCATCCAGACACAAGCATGTAAACATGTATACCGTCCAGACACAAGCACAGAAACATGTATACCGTCCAGACACAAGCATGTAAACATATATACCGTCCAGACACAAGCATGTAAACATGTATACCGTCCAGAAACAAGCATAGAAATATATAAACCGTCCAGACACAAGCATGTAAACATGTATACCGTCCAGACACAAGCATGTAAACATGTATACCGTCCAGACACAAGCAAAGAAACATATAAACCGTCCAGACACAAGAATGTAAACATGTATACCGTCCAGACACAAGCATGTAAACATGTATACCGTCCAGACACAAGCATGTAAACATGTATACCGTCCAGACACAAGCAAAGAAACATATAAACCGTCCAGACACAAGCATGTAAACACATATACCGTCCAGACACAAGCATGTAAACATGTATACCGTCCAGACACAAGCATGTAAACATGTATACCGTCCAGACACAAGCAAAGACACATATAAACCGTCCAGACACAAGCATGTAAACATGTATACCGTCCAGACACAAGCATGTAAACATGTATACCGTCCAGACACAAGCAAAGAAACATATAAACCGTCCAGACACAAGAATGTAAACATGTATACCGTCCAGACACAAGCATGTAAACATGTATACCGTCCAGACACAAGCATGTAAACATATATACCGTCCAGACACAAGCATGTAAACATGTATACCGTCCAGACACAAGCATGTAAACATGTATACCGTCCAGACACAAGCATGTAAACATATATACCGTCCAGACACAAGCATGTAAACATATATACCATCCAGACACAAGCATGTAAACATGTATACCGTCCAGACACAAGCATGTAAACATGTATACCGTCCAGACACAAGCATGTAAACATGTATACCGTCCAGACACAAGCATGTAAACATATATACCGTCCAGACACAAGCATGTAAACATGTATACCGTCCAGAAACAAGCATAGAAATATATATACCGTCCAGACACAAGCATGTAAACATGTATACCGTCCAGACACAAGCACGTAAACATGTATACCGTCCAGACACAAGCATGTAAACATATATACCGTCCAGACACAATCATGTAAACATATATACCGTCATGCTACAGGCATGTAAACATACATACCATCCAGACACAAGCAAAGAAACATATATACCGTCCAGACACAAGCATAGAAACATATATACCGTCATGCTACAGGCATGTAAACATACATACCGTCCAGACACAAGCAAAGAAACATATATACCGTCCAGGCACAAGCATGTAAACATATGTACCGTCCAGACACAAGCATGTAAACATATATACCGTCCAGGCACAAGCATGTAAACATATATACCGTCCAGACACAAGCATGTAAACATATATACCGTCCAGACACAAGCAAAGAAACATATATACCGTCCAGGCACAAGAATGTGAACATATATACCGTCATGCTACAGGCATGTAAACATATATACCGTTCAGGCACAAGAATGTAAACACATATACCGTCATGCTACAGGCATGTAAACATATATACCGTCCAGACACAATCATGTAAACATATATACCGTCCAGACACATGCATGTAAACATATATACCATCCAAACACAAGCAAAGAAACATATATACCGTCCAGACACAAGCAAGTAAACATATATACCGTCCAGACACATGCATGTAAACATATATACCGTCCAGACACAAGCAAAGAAACATATATACCGTCCAGGCACAAGCATGTAAACATATATACCGTCCAGACACAAGCATGTAAACATATATACCGTCCAGACACAAGCATAGAAACATATATACCGTCATGCTACAGGGATGTAAACATACATACCGTCTAGACACAAGCATGTCAACATATATACCGTCCAGACGCAAGCATGTAATCATATATACCATCCAGACACAAGCTAAGAAACATATATATACCTTCCAGACACAAGCATGTAAACATATATACCGTCCAGACACAAGGATGTAAACATATATACCGTCCAGACACAAGCAAAGAAACATATATACCGTCCAGACACAAGCTAAGAAACATATATACCGTCATGCTACAGGCATGTAAACATACATACTGTCTAGACACAAGCATTTAAACATGTCTACCACTATGATCCAAACTTGTAAACAGTTTTCTCACATCCATGTATATATACATTTCGAGATCTGATTGACTCACGTGATCTATGTATCCCGCCGGGTAGGGAAATAAATGTGTGAGCGAGAGAACATATCTCTTTTCCCCTTTTAACTGTGTGTAGGTTACGCATTAATGAATGTCATGTGACACAGCACAAGTTGACCAGCTGTTTCTATCAATTTTCAATATTTAGGGCTTTTTTTACAATTTTCGATTGAAACATTCGTTATACCAGTATCACTCGGGGTATGTGTGTTTTTATGTGTCCTAGGTTAGGTTTCATATCACGAGCCGAAGGTGAGTGCTATAATCTGACGATGGAAGAATAAAACAACATACACCCTGCCGCAGGTGATACCGCTTGAACTTATAATATACTGTCCTTACATTAGCATGTAAACATATATGCTGTTATGATACAAGCGTGAAAATAATGTACTGATACAATACCTTACGGACACAAGCATATAAAAATATATACCTCGTGATACAAACATGTAAATATATGTATCGTCCTGATACAAACATATATACCATCCTGATACACACATACACACATACATTGTATATACCGTCGTGATACTAGCACGTAAAATTGGACACTAAAATGACGTTATGATACAAACATGCAAACATATATACCGTCTTGATGCAAACATGCAATCATGTATACAGTCGTGACACAAACATGCAAACATATATACTGTCTTGATACAAACATGTACACTTATATACGGCTCTGATACAAGCATGTGAAAATAAAACCGGTCATGATACAAACATGTACACTTATATACCGTCCTGATACAAACATGTACACTTATATACCGTCCTGATACAAACATGCAAACATATATACCGTCTTGATGCAAACATGCAATCATGTATACAGTCGTGACACAAACATGCAAACATATATACCGTCTTGATACAAACATGCAATCATGTATACAGTCGTGACACAAACATGCAAACATATATACCGTCTGGATACAAACATGTACACTTATATACGGCCCTGATACAAGCATGTGAAAACAAAACCGGTCATGATACAAACATGTACACTTATATACCGTCCTGATACAAACATGTACACTTATATACCGTCCTGATACAAACATGTACACTTATATACCGTCCTGATACAAACATGTAATACTATACTTATATACCGTCCTGATACAAACATTTACACTTATATACCGTCCTGATACAAACATGCAAACATAATACCGTCGTGATAGAAACATGCAAACATGTATAGTTGACCATATTTACAATGACGCTGCTGCAAATTATTCAAATTGAGTTATTAAAGCAGTGAAAATGCAATTGGTTGCGTATTTCATTCCGGAATTCTGAGTCCTTCTATTCGCAACCACCGTGCCTATATAACGTACCTGAACAGGCAGGAGGACACCGAAGTACGCACGAGAGACGCGTGGTTCCAAGTAGTAGACAGTCTCAGTGTGGTGACTCTTTTCAACCAAACATATACAAGGGCGTATAACATCTTTATCAGCCACCTCTTTCTATTGATGGGCCCTCACTTTGCCTACAGTCATAACACAGATGAATACATCTTTGTTAGCAATCTAACCTTAAGGCAAGATGAGGGACCATATTATAACCATTGCATTGCATCTTCTTTATAACGAGTCAATTTACTAAGTCTTTATGTTGAGCAATATTCCAGCAGCTCCAGCCTTTGGTGTCTACATTTCACAACGTTTTAGGTGCAATCGAGCATGCTCTTTTTACCAATATTTCAAACAACGTCATACGAGTCTTACAAAAAGATTGGTTGATCAGGGCTAGAGCAGTCAAGACAGCAGTAAAGATTTCAAATAGCTTTATGGTAGACATGTGGAGAACATTTCCGGATGTGGCGCATCAGTGACAAAAATTATGTCGGATGCAATTCCCTATTTTGACTTGTACCCTATTTGTTTTTGCCTCGACCACCTGGTATCTTCAATATTTGAGAGTGATGTATAAGCAGATGTTCATGATATAGCCGGAATCGTACATTGAACTCTGCTTGAAGTGGAGATTTCTTATGATATTCGCATTTATTTACCAATTGATGGTGGTAGGTTACCCACTATACTTATGGATCATCAGCTCAGTTAAACGTACCACCCAAACATGTACATAATCAAGGCATCATTGTGTATCAGTTGAATCCATCGTTAGTTGTCTTTGTTGATAGAAACTAAAACGTAACTATGAACAACATTTACTACACGTTATAGGGTTTCCCAGTCATAATAAGTTGAAGGTCAGTGATCTACTCAGCCTAGTGAATCTGGGTTATCGAGATGTGCCGCTCCCGTCTTACGCCCCATTAACCTAGCCTCGGGTATGTGATCCCGCATTACGAATGTCTAAACACGGACGTTTTCCGCAAAGAAATCCGAAACAATGTTTTCTACTTGTAATCAAATTTGTATTTATATATTATGAACCATGATATTTATTTTTCTCTTTTTATTTGAATATTATTTATAAAAACAGATGCAGATGTAAGTTGCATCATTTCTTGAACATGTGTCTTTTAGGAGCACTGCTATGTTAGTTAAATAAACCTTCATCTGGCTTAATTAGAACAGGTCCACCCCCTTGTATAGCCCTAACAACTGCGAAAGGAGGCATGTGATGTCTTAGAGTAATGAAGGAAGTCAAGAAAGAATCATGTGTCTGCAAAGTAGGATTTCCTAACTTCAAAACATATAAACAATATTAGTTTCAATGTGTGTGTGTGTGTGTGTGTGTGTGCGTGCGTGCGTGCGTGCGTGCGTGCGTGTGTGTGTGTGTGTGTGTGTGTGTGTGTGTGTGTGTGTGTTTGTGTGTGTGTGTGTGTGTGTGTGAGTGTGTGTGTACGCTTTTGTGAGCAATCCGTTGACAATGAAAGGGGGTTAGATATACGCACTGACATATTATTGACATGTGAACTCGCTGGCTTTTATTGGCAACATTAATTTCGAACAAATATGAATAGAGACGCGCAACACTGAATCAGTATTCTATACGAATAGGCGTTGCCACCAACATAGCAAGCGCTAATTTATGAAAGCCTTTATGTTTTCAATACATGTTGTTTTATGGGTTTCATTGGGGCTAAAGGGATTATGAATGAAAACTTATGTACACATATATTTTTTAGAAAATGTAGTTTTAATCATTATGCAGAGGAATGCCGTATATTAGGTATGTATTTAATAAACCTGCACACATATAAAAGTCGCGGTCCGAATACTATCTACCGTGGGACATATTTTGCAATAAATCACTTCGGTTTGTAGGTACCAGTTCGCGATGACAACGATGAGTAACAGGGTGTTTAAGGGGTTGTACCCCTTCACATACATTCTAAAACACGGGAGCCGAAGCGTCATCGACGCATGCAAATAACGGGTATATTAAGGACATATTACTTATCAATTAATGCATTATTCTTCAGACAAAAACGTCGAAAGAGCAGGATGAAATGTTTTGCGTCGATTATTTTGGCTGCAGGAAACTGTCCTGGAACTTCACCCAAGACGCTTTCACTCGCTACATTTGTTCAGCACACCAATTGACCATTTTTGTTTGTTTGTTCTTTAACGCCACAATATTCCAGCTTTACGCCGGCGGTCTGTAAATAATTGAGTCTGGACCAGACGATCCAGTGACTGACATAATGAGCATCAATCCACACAATTGGGATACGATGACATACATCAACCAAGTCAGCGAGCCTGACCACCCGATCCCGTTAGTCGACTCTTACGATAAGCATAGTCGCCTTTTACGGCAAACATTGGTTGCTGAGGACGTAGTCTAACCTGGATCTTCATGGGTCTCAAGCGATAATGTAACTTACCACAATTTGAAGAGGTCTGACGCATAGAGCCGTTTTGATCAGTTCGCGACACTCGGTATCATGTAGATGACGGAACGTGATGAGTGTGTTAAATGGCATCGGGATCACTCGTTGGTTGACCAAAGTTCTATTCTTACCCGCAATCTTCAAAAGTGTCCGTCACGACTTCCGCTTAGTCTGACAGTGTGGAACAGTGTCGGGCTAACAATCCGACGGATTCTCACAAAAACCTGGTTGCTTGTCTTAGAGACATGTAATCTTCGGTGCTAAATTCTAAAGGTGTTCCTGTAGAATCATGACAATCCAGACTACACAAGCCAGAGTTATCTGTATAATTTTAAGGTATTTCATTAAGAAGGTATTTCACTGACATTGTATCTTAAGTGTCTAATGGTTGGTCCAGACATCTATACTATACACATACGAGGTTGTTTAAAGAAACAAAGTACGTCTTATCTTGTAGTGTCTTGAGTGTCATCAAGAGTTCTGTGGTGTGGAAAGTAGTTTGTATTTTAGTGGAAATATTGCAAGAGGACTAGCAACCTAGTATATAAACTGACCACCAAAAGAACCACAAAAGATAGATGCATGAAGTAAAATGTAGAAATAGTGGGGCAACCGGAAGACGTCATCCATCTATTGCTGAGCTGTCAAATTTCTGTTAATGATGACCATTGGTGTTCTCTCCTGCCCACAAATTCCTCCCCACCCCATAACACCCCCTCCACCATATGGCACGACCCCCTGAAGTTAACATGCCGCCGGTCGTTCTCCCCTTCGTTTGTAAACACGCTGTCTTCCATCAACTCTGGAAAGACAGAATTGGATTTCATCAGTGAAGACAATTCTCTACCAGTCACAGCGCTGACAACAACGTACAGTCATCTGACGACGATGTTGCGCTGTCTATAACTGTCCTCTGTAAGGTCTGTAAGCCCTAATTCCTTTGAGCCATGAGTCGCCTGGTCACTGTCCGCCGACTAACCATATGCCCTAAGGCATTCGTCGCTGATGACCTCACTGTCAGGAATCAATTCCGGAGATGCAAAGCACGCAAGTACCGGTCGTTATTGGGCGTAGTTACCCTGGGTCTGCCTACTGGCCTGTCTGATGTCTGCCCAGTCTGTCTGTAACTTTGCATCATATTAGTTACAGCAACAAGGGAGCAGCCAAGATTCTAGCAATGTGGTCATGGTTGGCTCCCATGTGGATCATATCCAGGGCCCGCTCGTATTTCTGTGGTTATATATTTTTTATCAGTGTGAGTGTCGTACGTACCTTCCGTATCATTTATATACCCTTATTGCATGTGTAGTTTCGGTTGCCCAAGCGGCACATAATTGTCATTTTCTTTTGCATTTTCTGCAAAAATACGTTACGTGGACGTGTATCACTTTCTGACCAGTGCATAGTTTTATGATATGTGTACAGTGTAGTGTGCAAACAAGCATGTCAAGCATGTAGAGAAACAGTCTCTACGTTCCACAAAGCAGTTATTGTTGTGTATGTAATTAAACATCCGGATGTTGGGGTCGGTGTTCGTTTTCTGATCCATTACGTTGCCACGTCAGATGGGCAAGGAGAAGTTTGTGGTCGGTATACTACGATACATTAAAGACATATTTCACTCTGGAATTTGAAAACTCCATGATTTTTTGTAAAAGCGGGCTGTCGTATAGTCTAGTGGTTAGAGCGTTCGATCGTCACCGACGTTGGGAAATGCGTGAAGCCCATTTCTGTTATCCAGCGCCGTGATAATGGTAGTACATTGCTAAAAGCGCCGTGTTAAGTTAAAACCTGACTCACTGTTGTCAAACAACCGTCAGAAGTCTCTAAGACACGTGAAGATCCGAGTTAGAATTGATCTTCAGCAACCCATGTTTGCCGTAAAAAGCGTCTATGCTTGTCGTAAGAGGCGACTTACGGGATCGGGTGGTCAGGCTCGCTGACTTGGTTGATACATGTCATTGTATCCCAACTGTGTAGATTGATGATCAAGATGTCAATCACTGAATCGTCTCGTCCAGACTTGATTATATACAGCTCGCCGTCACATAGCATTAATATTGCTGAGTGCGGCATTAAACAAATACCCACCTTACCCGGTCTAAATGCACGTAATGACACACATTCTGAAACACTAGACAATGACATATTTGTCGAGAACACATCCCACATAAATAATCTACAACAATATCCCTTATGTCTTTTTGATTTTCTTGTTATGTAAAGTGTTTTCATAACATTTTAGGTTAATATGTAACTTCAGGTCTCATTTTGGGGTAGACCTGCGTCGAGAATCCAGCTTGTCAGGACAGTCTTTACATGGCAACCACGCGTCTACAATCAGCAGACTACAGGGGGTACTGTCGGTAAGTCACAGACCTAGTCACAACTGTCTACAGTCTACAGACTACATGTATATTCGATACTGTCGGTGAGTCACAGACCTAGCCACAACTGTCCACAGTCAGCAGACTATATTCGATACTGTCGGTAAGTCACAGACATACCCACAACTGTCCACAGTCTACAGGCTATATTCGATACTGTCGGTAAGTCACAGACCTAGCCACAACTGTCTACAGTCTACAGACAATATTCAAT